TTTTTTTTTACGATATTTCTTTATGTATTATTAGTGAACAATTTCATTATTGTTACTGTCAAAAATTATAACAGTACAATTGAAACATAATTCAATAGAAGTGAGTCTAGTCAAGAACAAGTACCTTCAGTCAGATTTGGCTAGGCTTATTTTTGTATTGAATTTCCTGTATGTACCATTGACTTAGATCAATTATTAGTTTCAATTCTTGCTTTAACATTGATATTGCTATAGTCTTTCTAACTCAAGTGACCTTGTCCTATTTTTCTCTCTCTTATAATGAATCAAATTGTTATATTTTCTAGAAAAAATTATATGTTTTATACCCTTTAACCTAACTTTCTTCCTCTCCGCGAGTAACTAGTAAATAGAAACTCTTTAAGTTCTTGGTTTCAAGGCCAATATGCAAAAAGAAAATTCAAATCAACCCTTTTGCAAATATCGCACACACTATTGTTTCTGAAAAGGGTTGTGCTAACAATCACTAACATCTAAACATGAAAATAGATCGTTCTGAGACTTATAAAGCATCATCTAAGTTGACTTAATCATGATGAATTAAATTAATTGTGTCGATGTTTAATTGTTATATATGACTGATTCATTAGATGATATTTTAGAATATATATCAATTTATGAGGATTTGAGTTACTTTTTTTAATAGGGTTGATCTTTTAAGATGGAATCAAAAATCATAATACGATATTAGAGTTCATTAAGTTTCAACGAATAATTCGATCCGATTAAAAACTCAAAAAATGTGCACATGAATTTAAAGATTGATTTGCTCAAACAAGCTAACATCTTGTACAAACATTTTAAGTAATAAAATTTCATATAGAATAAAGATGAAAGTATAGATCGATCTATAAAAATTAGAATTTTTCCTCTTAATAAAGTTAATCTTTTAAAATGAAACTTCAATGTTTAATAGAATAGCTTCACCAAATGGTGGCTTTCAAATTATTACACTTACCCATCACCAGCAAATCTCAAAATAATAATGCTAAATACACCACATTATATCCACCCCACAATTAATACATATTTTTAATAAATACACCACAATAATTTACAATTATATACCTAATTTAATAAAAATAATAAAAATATATTTTCTAATCTTCACCTTTTCTTTTCTTCCAGGCATTTCCTTCCAATTCCCACTCTGTGCTTTTGTATGTTCCATTGCAGAGAAGTACTCGTCTAAAACTACTTATATGGAGACAAGAAAAGAAGTGAAAAAACATTACCCATTTCTCTTCCATACGCATTATCTACTACACCACATATACTATCTTCAGATTAGCTACAAAAAATATATGCATACATGCGTGTATACATTTTCTTGACTTTCTGGATCCAATACCTGTTCTTTTGTATTTTAAAGCTCGAGGGAGGATTTGATTTCTGGGTTTGAATATTAGATGAAGGGGATGGGTTTGAAATTTGAATATCCTTTGAATTTGAATGGAAGGGTGTGGATTTAGAGTTTCTTGTTTTAAATAATAATTTTAGGGCCAATTCACTTAGTAGGGGAGCAATAATTTGAACAATAATTCTGTTATCACTAAAAACTCAATTTTCTATCTCACAAGAACAAAAAATGGCGATTTCATATCCATCTCCAATAAATTTATTGTACAAACCCTAGTTCAGCTCTTTACTTTTCACCCAATTTCCAAAAACCAAAAGCGTCGCCACGATCCATTTGTGCTCTCTCTTCTCCCGAGGCCCACTCCTGTCGGAAATAGTGTGTTGTTGAGAGGGAAAAAAATGGCGGGGGGTGGGGGGGATGTCGAAGGGTAAA